CTTATATATATATATATATATATATATATATATGTATAGTTATAAGATTTTCAATGTCATTTTAAAGAATTTTTTTCTTAACAATGATCATTTATTAATATTTTTAACTGGATATTTATTAATATTTTGAACTTACCGTGGGTACTGAAGTCAAGAAGGATCTCACTCTGGGCTTCGTCCAGAACGTAATATCATGTACGAACAGCCATGCTTGCATTAACCTTGAAAAAATTGCATATGTGTTTGATGAAGAAATATGATTATTATACAGGATTTAATAATTTCTAATGCACCCCTCGTTAGCAAATAGAATGGATAAATTCAATAAATTATTTCTTAACTTTCATTTCTAACTACATGCCGTTTACTTATATAATTTGAAAACGTAATAATTAAAAGCTATGTCTCATCCTATATATGTCGATAATTATCAGAAAGACATCTTGTACATGCGTCCAGTTAATATTTTATTTGAATCTAAAAAATTAAATTGTTAAATGTATCGAATTGCTAAGTAAAATAAAAAATATATGTATGTTTTACAGTTTATTTATTTACCATATAGCTTTTGAATCAATCGCATTCATGGCCGAAAAAACTGAATGACCGACATTTCTCAAATAAGTGAGTTCACTGTTACTGGGTTCATTCTCATTAAAAGTGTCGCAATTATAAATATGATCCGTACCAAATTCGTTGATATACTGTAACAAATTGAAATATTTATATTTTTTATCTCAATTGTGTTTATTTAATGTTTTAAATTATCTTAACTTACCATTTGAAGGAATTTTTCCCCAACAATACGGAATAGCGGATCCGTCGGTTCCAGTAAATAAGGACTAAAAATAATTACATTTATATATTACATTATATTGTATCATATTATATTATATTATATTAATTTATTGTATTAAACAATTGAAAAATTTATTATATATGAAATATTTTTGTGACGGTCTGCATTAACAATCATCATGCAATCATTTTATCTAGTTCTAAGATTATATCTTCGAAACAGATGTTTCTAAGTGAAGTTCAACGAAAATATTTGCAAACTTAATCAATTCAGGAGTTTCACAAAGAAGTATACTTGGACCAAGTCTATATATATATGTATTATACACTGTAGATCTACTTGTTAATAGGGAAACTATGATCGCTACTTTTGCAGACGACATAATACTCACAACACACAAAAATCCTGATTCTTTTTTCAAGAATCCTACAAAGAAGCTTAATAAAAATGGAAGAATGGTACAAAAAATAGCGAATGAAAGCTAACAAAACAAATTCTGTCGTATATAAAACTGTGTATTAATTTTTAACAGTTCTGTAATATACTTTATGTTATGAAAAATAATTTTAAACAAAATTACATAATACTCAAAAAAGAAGAAAAATGCGTGAAATGTTACTAGATTATTTTAATCTTACCAGCAATATTTGTCTTTAAATTTGTTCCAAGAATTGATTTTCGTCATATTAGCATTTGGGAAAAGTCTGGCGAAAGCTCGCGGTACATGACCCGCGAATGCTGGTAGTACTGGAGTGATTCCAAGATTTCTCATTCTTTGGAGAATTTGATGTTGTAGATGCATAGTGCGATTATGCCAATTTGATGATAATGGTCCACCAAAGCCACGAATATTGCCCATTCTTGTCCTAAATTGTCATAATAAATATATTTTCTTCTTTATATAAAGAATAGTTCAAAGGAGCACATCAGGATGTATAAAAAAATCGATTTTTTTAAAACCTTACCCTACCTTACCTACTTGAAAATTTGATTAATGAAGAATATATTTTTATAGTTTTATTTTAATTTAAGAGAAAGTAACGAAGTTACTGAATATTTTTGAAAATATATTTGAAAAATATATTCAATTGAGCGCATCGATATACAAAAGAAAGTACAAATTGAGATGGCATTTCTTCGTCTGAGCTGACTTATATGATTCTTTCTGATCCTAACGTTTTTCGTACATGTTTAAATTGCTTTTGGCAAACGTTTTCTAAACTGAATAATAAATAAACTATTAAATTATTTTATTGTCTTGTTTTATATAAACGTAAAGATTCAGTTAAAAAAATATATAATACAGTTTAGCTCATTTTTCAACATAAGTAATTTACTGATAAAAATCCGCAACATTACTACTTTGACCGAAAGCCAAAGATAATTGATGCAAGTAGCAGTAGATAGAAGCAAAAGAAGTCATAAAATATTCTATAAGAATATCAGAACTACATCCAAAATTCAAGAGATATTTAAGAGAAGTTAATAAAAGAATTGTTGAAAAGATGTGTCGACGATTTTAAAACTCTCATTTGCAAAATCGCTTAAAAAATTATCTTTTCTTGTAAGGCTCAAACATTAAAATTGACGTATATAATTCATGAATTTTTATTTCTTTAAAATACCTAGAAATCAAATCAATCGTGAAAAGAAATTTTTAAAATAAGTTTTTTTATAATCAAATATTATTATTACATAACTTTCTTTAAAATTTATCATTTAAAGTGAATATTTTTTTATTTCATACCGAACTGAATTGTCAAAATAATTCATTAATGAAATAATTACGTATTAAAGATAACAATTCATTACTCTTGTGTGTCCCCTTAAAAAACTAAAAATATAATTATCCAACCAGGGTAAAAAAGCAGGTCCACCAAATTGTTCATCGATTTCATTTTTTGTTAAATTTAATTCTTGATATAGTCTTTGCCAGATCGCTTCTTGTGCAGTAAAAGCGAGAGCAAGATTAATTCCATTAAGGGCCATCCAATCAATGTTTTTCTCCCAATGATCCCATTGCCACCAAACAGAACTATAACCTGCAGTGCACACATTTTGATAATATCTGAACCTAGAAAGTTACGGAATAATATAAATATACATTTGTATAAATAAATAGTTTAGATTATTATGGATGACATCGCGCGCTTCACCTGTCGTTCGATGTAATTTTAACTCGAACTTCTGGCAAAATTTTAGGCAATGAAATTTGCATACCGTCCCATGATATATGAACATTGCAATAATTTTTTAAATAGTAATGCAAACCCCATGTGATTGCCACCCCAGAAGTGCCACGAATTTCAATCTCGCCTAGATGATTCTTTGTTATCTGTCAAAAAGAAATCATTTAACAATATCGGATTACTTCCTCACGAATAAATATGCACAAATAAATATATAATCATTATGTTGTTGTATATTAAAAAATAAACATCACACCTCGAAAGTATCTTTACCAATGGGCCCTAAATTAGTATCTAACAACATTATAAACAATTGAGATATCTCCTTGCCTAACAATCTTTCTGCGACATCTTTAGCTGCTTTCGCCTGAATTTCTGGTGATGTATGCGGTTTTATATGACCCAAAGTATTCTGAAACACTATTCATTTACTTTTATATAAAATTTTAATTTTCCATCAGCAACTTGTAATCACATCTTTTATCGATAACTTGTAGTTTTCAAAATTATTGCAACTTTTTACAATCTTCTGGATTGTATAAAAATGTTAAAAGATTCTCATATATTTGTTAAATCTTTAACAAGCTTTTAATATCATAGAACTTTTTTTAGGGGATCAAAATCCGTTATCTATTCTAAAATGTATAATCAAAGAATTCTCTGCTTTAAAATCCTTAATTTACTATTGTATTGTTTACTTTTGTAAGATTAAGCTTTGATATACAAAAACTTGAATCACCTTAAGATTAATCTAGTCAATTATTAAACAATATAATAGAAGCATGTATTTAGATGATTATTAAACAATATAATAGAAGCATGTATTTAGATGATTTATTAAATAAAATAAAATAAAAATTATCTTTGCAAATTAATTTATTCCTACAAAAGAAGAAGTCTAAAAATAGCCAATTTTGATTATGATGAACAAACATCTTTAAGAAGAAAAACTCGTGTAATAAGTTAAAAAATCAACATCTTTTCATAATTTAATAGTTTAACATGTCAAGAATGTGTTCCTGAAGTTTTATAACAAAAATTAACATAGCTACAGATGATTTTCTTACCATTGAGTAGTGAGTACCTTTCTTTTGGATTTAATAAGCTTCGAATAAGAACTAATCTAAAAGGTCACAGGGTGAGTAAAAAGTTCTGGACCAGTGAGATATCTTGAAAAGTAAGCATTTTCGAAAGAAATGTTATGTTCGAAAGAAATGTTATGTTCGAAAGAAATATAATGATATTATATTCAGCAGAATATATTTATTTTGCCATTATTGGAGGTTTTCTATGCCAAAATTTTAAAATTAGTTCCCTAAATCTAAAAATGTAATCCAATCTCATAAAATTTCCAATAATTACAAATATTCTGCTGAATATTTGGCCCATTATTCACTAATGTGACAGATTTACTAACCTTTAAGGTGCATCAATTTCAATTCTCAATAATTCTTTTTAAAGTAGCGTAAGATAATTTTTTTGAAAATCTTCCTTTATTTTTAGGCAAAATAAAATTGAATAAGTATTATTATTAAGTTAAAGTAAAATTAATATTAAATTTTTAAAAGTAGAATCCTTAAATATTTTTTTATCAAAAGATTTATAATTATATATATATTGTACTTGAAAGAAGAATAATGCATGGATATGGAAACAAAAACAATTTATGTTTACTTACTGTCTGATTTGCGACATTGACTACACGATGCCAGTAATCCAAATAAAATAATAAATAATCGCAACCACAATACTGAAGTACCCATGTTGACAAACTAGTAGTATGTCTCGTGATTGACACGTGTCGGAAGATGTTTGTACAGCGAATGTTTCGATGGGTCCTGCAGTAGCTCTGACTTATCAACTTAATTTACTCGCAGACGATATGGACACAACTGTCCGTCTTTATCACTCTTGCGTCTAACACAGAAGAGAACCACTTATCGTGCGTATTACCTACGCGAATAAGGCTACATTTTACAAAGATATTATTCTATCGATATAAAGCCGCTTTGTTGTCATAGCGACTATTCAACAATCTGTAGGTCATATCCAAAGATGAAGAACATGCATTCGCAATAAATTGACACACAATTTCAATTGACAGTACATTCATATAAAGAACTATTTGTGATTGTGATCATTGGCTATTTGCAAAAAAATTTGCAAAATATTCATCATCTTTTAATTAAAAAGTAAAAATATAGGAATTATTAAATCAATAATTTGCGGAATTATTAAATCAATAATTCTTTGTTTGTTCGCATAAAAGATTGTAAAATTTATTTATTTATATACTTATAACGAAGTTTTAATCTTGTACATCATGATGGACATTGAGATGAATGCTGAATTGGAGGGGGTAAGTAAATATAAAATATATTTAATTATTAATTTACTATTCATTAATTATGAATTTTTTTATACAACTATATATTATTGAAGAATTTAAAATGATATATAAACTATTTTCAAAAGTATAAAAAAAGCATCAAAGGCTTTATGTAAACTACAGCTTTATCAGAATGTTATTTATCACATCGTTAATGGTTTAAGGTTATAAATATATAATATATATAAATATATAATATATATAAATATATAATAAATAAAATATAGACAAAAGCGTATAAATATAAATTTCATCGACTTCTATTATTTCTTTTGAGTATTTGCATAAAAATTGAACACAATTTTCTGAACAATTTGGAAAGTATTTAATTTTTATGTTTGTATAGATTTGCTTATAAAGAAAAACTGCATATTGAGAAACTAGTACAGAAATTAAATAACATCTATAATATATATTTTGTTTTAAAATTAATAATAATAAATAATTAATTTGAATAAATATATATAATTGATAAATATATATAATATATAATTGATTATTTTTATATTTCATGTATATTTAATTTATTTGATATCTCCATAATAATTCCAAATTTTATTATAAATTATCAGTTATTTTGGCTGATATTTGCAGCAAAACAGTTACATTGTTATAGTTTGCAACTATTATAAGATTCTTTAATATGATTGGTTTATATATTTAAATTCGTGAGGAATTAAGAGCCAATATCCAATAAGAGCCATATCAATCATATAAAAGTTTTTACAACAGTTGCAAAACTATTTTTTTTTTTGAATGCAACTTTTGTTTCTCGATTGATTTTAGAGAACTTTCCTGATCAAAAATTTTTGTTCTACAACTATAAGTCTTTCATGAACATATTAAAAATTACATTTTCTTATTTATACTTTAATTATCTATACATATTTACTTTATGTATTTTCTTTATCATTGTAATCAATTTATTTGATATTCAAAACTGTAAAATATAAGAAATATGTTTTTTTTCTTAAATTTTGATTATTTTTGCTACTGCTATATAATCGATATATCATTAAATAAATAATAATCATTCATATCACTTTATTTTCTAATAGTAATAGAACATTACTATTTTCAGGATGATGAAAGTGAAAGTAGTCAACCATCCTCGGAGGGAAGCTCGGCGAGTAGCACTTTTTGTATTTTGGAGAAAGATTATGCCAGAGTAAGAACTTTTTTTGTGAAAAAAAAATCGAAATATTTGAGCTATTTTTAGATATAAGCAGAAGAATAATTTTTGCAATATTTTTAACGAAAACTAATATATATATATATATATATATACACATAGTAAAGTACAACTTAATACTACAAACACTAC